TTTGACCCGAAAAGAGGAGATTGACCCGTTTTTGACCCGAAAATTAGCAATTTTTTGGTTGAAAACGGGTCATTCGGGTCGGGTCGGGTTGACCCGGACCCGAAGCGGGTCGGGTTCGGGTCAAGGAAACCGACCCGTTTTTAAAAACGGGTCGGGTTCGGGTTGACCCGAATAGTGCCGGGTCAGTTTTGGGTTCGACCCGAACCCGACCTGTGACCCGAAATTGACACCCCTAACATGAGTATATTAGAATTATGTGCTTTGTACATAAATCCCCATTAAAAATGTAAGTGGAGATGCCACTCTAATGGATATGGCAATGACATTGCCTAAACCAACTGAGGCAAATAAACCTGACTGAGGAGATTCGACTTCCTTATCTTCTTGATCTGTTTGTTACGAACTTTGACTATCAATCAAAAAATCTTGAATTTGAGTATTGTGTATGTAATGTGCGTGTGAATTTGTCTTGATTGACCTAAATGTTTCCAAAAAAAAGTTTCTATCATGATCAAATTTGATCTACATCTAAAAAAATAATGAAAAGAGAAAAAATAAATGTGTGGGTCAAATGGGCAATTGAAATGTCATCACTGAGAGTGAAGTTATAGAAAGGGAGAAATTATTCTCTACGGATATCAGACGTAAAATGCTGATAGAAGACCAATCAGAATGCATCACGTTAGCAATACTAAGCCGTAGTACTGAGCTGTACCGAACAGTATTGAGTTACGGTATCGAGCACAAGGGTGACATAGTGCATTCTGATTGATCTTCATATGACGTTCGACGTCCGCACAGAATAATTAATCGTAGAAAGGAGGTGGAATTGAGAACTCCCTCAAATTAGATGAGGTAATAGCAAACTAAAGAAAATTAGAAATTGAGTGCAGCCCCACCTTCATCTAATGGACGAGAGCTTCGGTTGTCAACCAAAAGGTTGCAGATTCAAAGTCTTGAACATCCGCATGTCAATTTATGATTAAATTCACTCAAAAAATAATAATAATAATAAAACTAGGACTTGAATGATGATCGGGAGGAAAAGAGCTGTCAAAAGCATCACGCCTAATAATCAATAAATGATAATGGCCCTGATAATAAAAAAAGTCAAACCAGATGGCTCAAAGTTTAGTAGGCACAAATTTCTTTTTTTAATTTCTATTAAAAAAAATAGAGCTCTATATCAATAGTTGATGAAGGCTTCATCGGGGACGATTTTCTTCCTGCTTCTTATAGTAGCTTTCTGGTACAAACAACTTTTGATAAAAAATTAAAATTTATGTACTAAAAAGTTATTTTGAGAAACACTAAGAAAGCCGTCCAAAACAAAGCTTAAATTTTGGCCAAACTCGACGCAAGTTTGATTAGAGTCAGCTATGCTGACTCATTGGTCAGCTCATTATTTCAATATGAGCTCAAAGTCAAAACTCAAATCATTTTTTTTTTAAAATGCTCTCTTATGTTTGCCTCAAGTTAACAGCTGTGATAATAGTTGACTGGGGACCTCCTACGCAAGAAGCCAAATATTCAAAGCATAGTGCATCTAATCATAATCAGCATTGTCAGCCTAAAGAAAAAAAAAATTAAGTAAAATTCTTTCAAGGATTCAGTGAATTAGCATCGAATGCAGAGAATTAAGATTCAATGGCAAGAAACAAATCAATGCAAGATTTGAAAGGATGAAATTAGAGCAATAAATTTCAACAAAAAGATCATTAGTTTTGAATGATATAATAAATCATTAGTTAACAAAAAGGTAAGAACTCACTAAACGCCAAGCACATTGAAATTGGCCCGTGTCTTGCTCTCTGTCTCTGCAAGTCTCCCATGCAGTCTGCCTTCCACACGTGAACCTCTCACCTTTTTGGATAGGTATTCGTCCCATTTGCCCAACTTGCAGCCACAAACATACCCCACAAATTGGGGAAATTATTCTGTGCGAAGTCCGAACGTAGAGGATCTTCCGGATTATTAGACGTACTACGTACGCTCTGCTTACACTACTTACACTTTGCGTATTTTTAGATACATAACAAATAAGCAGCAAATCCTCATAATCTACAAATACGCAATATATACACAATAAATAAGCAGAGAGCACGCAGAGCTTATGCATAGGATACACAGTAATCCGAAAGATCCTCTACGTTCGGACTCCGAACAGAATAATTTCTCGACAAATTGACTACAAACACATTGAGAAGACATTTAAGACTATTTTTTCTTTCTCCTGTTTGGATTACTCTCCACAAGTATAATCTCCACCATTCGAGCATCAAAATCTTCTGGGGCAGGGCACTATTTTCCTAACCTGTTACAATGCAGGTCAAATCCCCTCTCAGTTTTGCCAAGCTCATAATTCTCATAGCTTCTCTTCTTACATACCTTAGTGTTCAATCTGAGACTGCTCTTCTCAATACAAGTGGCGGCCAGTCCAAAGCCAGCAGCTCGAGCTGCGACTTCTTCCATGGAAGCTGGGTTTATGATGACTCCTATCCTCTCCATGACTCGGCAAACTGCCCTTTCATTGACCCAGAGTTCGACTGCCAGAAGTATGGCCGACCTGATAAGCTCTATCTCAAGTACAGGTGGAGGCCAACTACTTGTGAGCTTCCCAGGTTAGATTATCACATCCTTTTTGTTTTTCTCCTTGTGTCTTCTCAGTTTTTTATATGGAAGTATATGGTAATGAAGAAATGAAGTTTTGAATGATGGATGAAGGTTTGATGGGAAGGATTTCTTGACAAGGTGGAGAGGGAAGAAGATAATGTTTGTGGGAGATTCAATAAGTTCTAACCAGTGGCAGTCATTGCTTTGCTTGCTTCATGCTGCTGTGCCTGGCTCCAAGATTTCCACTAACAAGAGGGATCCCCTCTCTACTGTCACGTTTGAGGTACTTGCGTTATTTTATGGCATAAATCAGATTTCAAAATGCTTTAACTTTTTGTGAATGGATTCAAGGCCTAACTGCTAAAACATAAATTCATGAAGCCACAAATTTGAATTACATATTTTATGATTTATAGCTAATTATTCTATTAAAAAACTAGCTCGATCTGATATAAATTTGAGCTTGACTGGACTCATCAATTTAGATTCTAAGTTCACTTTAACAACAACATCATCATCATCATCATCAATCCTTTTTGCCATTGTGTCTTCGTTAAAAGTCAAATTCTCATTTAAATCTAATAAAGAAAGAGCATTTCTAATATGTCAGGTAGGGTATTATTTATACATTGGAGCGCTTCTAACTCAAGCATGCATGAATCACGTTAATTCTGATAATGGTTGGGATGTTCCAGCAAGTTGTTTACTTTATTTTCCTATTCCATAAAGTTTAAACCTTTCTCTTTTATATTTCTACTTTAGAACAAAAATCAGAGGAAATTGGGGTGAACAGTGTAGTGATGAGCATTTCCCCTTATTCCAAAGTTCAAGGCAACCCGTGACCAAACGTCAGGCACAAAAAACTGGCAAAGGCCCCATGCTTTTACCTTAAAAAAGCAGACTAACTTATGACCAGCTCATAGTAGCTCAATCATAGAATGTACAACTTCTTAAGTTGGAATCATCTTCTCATCTAAAATTGGAAGCAAGCTTCAGATTGAACTTGATTAAATAATCAAGCTCAAGTTAGGGGAAACCTGACCTAGACTCATATTCATTTACAACCCTACCACTGATGAGCCAGATGCGCCAAAAAAAAAGAAAAATCTAACAGGAATTCCTTTCTTCCTGCTGCTTTCTTATTATCTTTTCCTATTTCATAATCATTATCCTTACCAAATTTTTTTTTTATTCTGCTGCTTTCCTATTTCAAACAAAAATACGCCACGTTACCCAAGAAATGTACCGCACTCGGTACTGAGCTCGGTACCTGTGCTCGATACCGCTCGGTACCGAGTGCGTAACCGGATGGGAGAACCATCCGGTGGCTACACAAAATAATAGCTCAGTTCTATCAGATTATCACGGTAATTGCACTGTTTAATCACCCAATCTTAATCATAGAACCATTTGGATGATCGTAAAGAATCCTACTGCATCTACTATGGTTTAAAAGAAAAAAAGACAAAATCACTCCAATAACTCCTACGTAAGTTAATTATTGAGTAAATATCTCTCAACTATAGAGACATTTAATAAAATAGGTCCACAATTCTGACAGAAATTTATCATGAAAAAAAAAATGATGCAATATTTATGAATAGAAATTTTTGTCTATACCCTTCAAGAGTTTCCAACTCATGGAGAATCCCCAAGCACATGGCCGTGTATTCCTAACATCATGTAATTATTGCAAAAGGCCACAGCATCCATACAACGCATAGGTGACCAGGACATTCAAGCAAGTGGGAATTCTACATAAAATAATTAAGCAAATTGTCTTAGGCTTCGTTTGGGACGATTTTCTTACTGCTTCTAAAAGTAGCTTTATAATACAAAAAATAAATTTTTTGTGCTAAAAAACTGCTTCAACAAGCAATAAAAAAGCCATCCCAAACGAAGCCTTAGCCCTAAAGCCCCTGCCTACTTACCCAGCAAAGTCCAATGCTAAATCAAACACAAATCTTCTGAAAACATCACATGCGGTGGGTGTGCATTTGATCTAGTTGATAGGTTTGAATTACTAATTAGCTAAGAAAACTGGTTTTAGCTCTATAATTCAAAAATCAAACCGATCAAACTATTTTCTAAATTTAATAAATCAAATTTTATTTTGGCTAGTTAAGGTTCATTCGGTTCAGTTTGGAATGAACTGAAATGTGATAAACTTTACTAATGAATCTAATTATCTTTAACCTAAATAGCATACATTAACAATAATACCAACTGTCATTTATTTATTTATTTCATAGGTTTTATATATTTAAGGAAATTAGTATAATGCAATTCTTAATTTAATTTATTTTAAAAAATTAAAATCAAATTAATAACCAAAAAACAAATAAATTCAAAATTATAACTAATAACTGGACTAATATTTTAACAATCGAACTGAAACAATCAAATAAGATCAGTTTGATTTGCCTTTTTGATTTTAACCATTTTAACCAAAATGATGCAAAAACCGGCGGCCTCTCGATGACCCTGTTAGGAAAGTATAGGTATTAGATTTGACTTATATTAAGAAAGGTAGATGTAGACCTAAAAAGACTTGGTTAGAAAATATTAGAAATGATCTTTGTTTATTAGATTTAAATGAGAATTTGACTTTTAACATTACACAATGGAGAAAAAAGATTCATGTAGCCAACCTCACGTAGTGAGACAAAGGCTTGATGTTGTTGTTGTTGTTGATGCCCGTCCCTACAACCACTACTTGTCTAGTGCTAATGAATACACAAACGGCATCTGTAGGAGTACACTGTGTCAGTGATGTATTACCGAAAACCCTATCTAGTTGACGTCGTCACAGAATCTATTGGCCACATCCTCAAGCTCGACTCAGTATCAAGTGGCAGCATATGGCTCAGTGCAGACCTGCTCATCTTCAATACATGGCACTGGTGGATCCATAATGGAGCAGCTAGCCAAGGGTAATGATACAGCCACACTTCTTTCTAGGCTTCCCTCCAGTGGTTTTAACAAATCAAAGAAGATGAATGAATTCGGTTTGTATTTTGCAGTTGGGACTACATCCAGGATGGGGACAAGATTTTGAGGGACATGAACAGACTTGAAGCGTTCTACAAAGGGCTAACTACATGGGCAAAGTGGGTGGATTCCAGCGTTGATGTCAATACTAAAAGGGTCTTTTTCCAGGGGATCTCTCCAACACATTACCAGTAAGTAGTTTGTAACATTATTTTGAAGGCATTTTGGGGATGACTCAGGGTGGACCCAAAGAACAAGGCATAATTACCTAAAATGGAAACTGTGAAACATAAAGCCCACAAGACCCCCCTAGAAATATAAGGTAGCACGAGATTCTGAGTCTCGTCTGTCTACCATTTCACCATCAAGGCATATTGACAGCGAATCGTATTCCATAAATTTGATATCTATCTAGTGTGATATATGGAGTATCTGACAAAGGTGGAGTTGCTTGATCTTTGATTTTGAAATGAGATGGGTAAAACTATGATCAAATACGCTACCCCAAACTCAAATAACTTCTAAGGTGAAATAAGAGAACCCAACTTCAGAGTCAGTTTTATTAGCAAAATAAAAATTCTTTGCCCGCCAAACATCAAATGAGCAAATTCACAAATGCCTCTCATGTTCTTCAATCCTCTTTACCGCTCCTCCCCCAGTCATTGATGCTGTACAATTAACGTTTCTGGAACTTTATTCAAGTTCTTCAATTTTTCTTAACATACAGAAAATGAAATATTCGTGGGATTTCTGTCCCACGGATCTAATCTTATGCCCCATTCATAGAGAGTTTTTAGTTATGTACAGTTCATGAGTTTTTTTCTTGTGTGTTAGGCTTGCATGTTTGCTCTATTATTCTGTATTATTAGCTTGTTGTATTTGCCTCGGTGCAGAATAAGATGGAGCAGACTACAGACCAAATGCATAAGAAATTTTTGAGCTATTCTAATCTAAAAATCTCTCCATCTGATGACTCTCATTACTTTGACTTAAACCTCCCTATAAAACATTGGTTTGGAGTAACATTTTGAACAGAGAAAACAAACCTCTTTACTTGCTTGCTAAAATTCTTTGTGAAATCAGAGGCTTGGATTGGGGAGAACCAGGAGTTAAAGATTGTGGAAGGCAAACACAACCAGTAATCGGATCAACATACCTTGGGAGTTCGTTACCTGAGCAAGGAGTGGTGAAGAATGTGCTGAACACCATAGGCAAGCAAGTCTATCTGCTTGATATCACTTTGCTATCACAGCTGAGGAAAGATGCTCACCCATCTGCATACAGTGGAGGCCACCCGGGAATGGACTGCAGCCACTGGTGCATTGCAGGGCTTCCAGATACATGGAACACGATCCTGTATGCAGCTCTAATTTCGTGATCTAATATGAGAATGATAAAGTATTAAAAGATGGCCGGAAAAAAAAATCCATGGGAACATTTCAGAACCATAGCCATTGTTCTTGCTCTTATTGCTTATTTGCTTGATATTGTAAATCATGTATTTTTTCTTTAGTGGTCAGAATTTCTGTCCTAGAAGATTCCTGGGATTGAGAAATCCATGACTTCTATTGCCATTGTATTCAGAATAATGATGTCAAAAGCAGGTTGAGCAAATTGTGTATTTATTCAAGAAAGTCTCAAATATAAACTTTGTTATTTAAAAACTTTTCTGGTTTAGGGGCTATTTGGTTGGTTGTATAGTGAATGCAGTATAAAGTAAATGCATAGTAAAAATAATATAATGTAAAGTAAATATTTTGAGTTGTTTGGTTGGATGTAAAGTAAATATAGGGGAACTATTTTTTTTTTTGGGCGTATGCAGAGTAAAGTAAAATAAATGTATTGTGAACCCCATACTCTACAACCGTCGCTTCATTACGGGAATTCACAAAAGAAGTACGCGGAAAATGCCAGAATTTACAAGATTTGGCCGAAGTTGAGAGCGAATTGACTGTCAAGCAAGCTTTTCGTGCCTTCCGATCCGAGAGAAAGGGAACGTCATCGAAGCAAAGCAAGGGAACTCAAATAAGCCAGCGACCGTGCCCTCCGATTCGAGAGGAAGGGAATTTCATCCAAGTGAGGGTTCTGAATGTCGTGCCTTGCAATCTGAGAGGAAGGGAACGTCATCGAATCAGAGGAAATGCGATCTGAACAGCAACGAAGTCGAAGTGAGCTCCTCCGTGCCTTCCTGCGAGCTTTTCTCTCACCTGAGCAGGGTGATTTCCTTTTTCAATCAAAACGAGTGATTTTACTTTACACGGAATTTGAACTTCCACAAGGGATTCATTATACATAGGGGTTTTACTTTACTTTGCATTTTGTCCAACAAAACATCAAAAAGTAAAAAATCAATGCATTTCTTTTACACTATATTCCTTATCCTCCAACCAACCAGCCCTTTAATGTATTCAAGTATAAAATACCTCTTTGGAAGAGTAGTTGAATATTGTATGATACATACAGCAGGATACATGTAAGCCAGATGTGAATTTCATGTTTCTAACTAGTTAGTCACGTATAAATTGTATAATTCTTACAGAACTTAACCATACAAGTCTATGAATTTAACATCTCCCTAAAGAGTTTTGTTAATAACCACTAATTAATGCTTCCTCAATTTACACACCAAAGACATATTTTAACAGGGATTAGAACTAATCAAACTTGTCAAATCAACATGAAAAGCATGTTCAGTATGGTCAAGCAGTTTCCCTATGAACAAGTTAAGCTGCTTCAGAATAGTCTGTACAACTCCTTTATGAATCAAATCCCTTGGATTTCATAATGTCTCATACCACCAGAAACTAGGACAGGTTAAACATTAATACCGGCATGTAAGCCATTGTTTTTCCTATGGATCGTATATTTCTTCAACCATCAGATTTGTTTTTTTTTTTTAATTTATTTATAAAGTAAAATTAATTACTAACTCCTTGAATGTTTCCTCTATTATGAACTGAAGGCCACTGATTCAAATCCTGTAAATAAATCACAACAATGAGAAGCTGGCTGCATAAATGAAGCCCACCATACCCTACATGGGCAGCAGCCTCATGCAAGGGGTACACCAAATTCATTAGGTGTTGTCTGACGTCATTAGAAGATGTTGCCGTGTAATTCTCCTTGCTCTTAATTCACATAAGATGTTCAATCCCTCGTATTAATCCACATGAATAGCCAAAAGTTAAATACACGCCAAGCTGGTTTTACATTACAACAATATACAAACAATGACGACATGACATGAAAATTTATTTATTTTGGGTATTTAGGCTAATTAAGGCAGACCCATACACACATCGCATATACAAGACTCGAACCTAAGATCTCTTAATTCGTAGCCTAAGCTCCCAATCAACAGATCAAGGTGAGCTGTATCATGACAGGAAAATTTGGGGTGACAAAAATAACAAAAACCAACGCATAAGATTTTGGATGCCCGTGGGATTAGCTCGCTAAAGAATACACAAAATGGAGACAAGTAGGACTTTTATCTCCTTTGTCAACATCAAGGATGAGCGCACGGTAAAGTACCAGTTTCAAAAGAAGAATTCAACCATTATGTAAGGAATGTATAGGTAGAAAGAGAAGATACTTTTTCCTAAATTGACCTCTAAGAACAACAACACAAGACGAAGAGAAAAAGATGAAAATCAAGGCATTAATAACCAACATACACAGCAGCATTGACTATGTAGCAGTCATCATTCTTATCCCCCATTGCTTCCAGGCAAACACCACTCGAGCATATCATTCCCCCGTCAACAACTTCAACGTTAAGAATTTGACCACTGTAGTGAAATAGTGAGTGATACATTAAATTAGTCACAAAAACTTGTGGCATGATAAAGGACTAACATTCTGGAAATTATTAACAATTCTGGGAATGGAAGTTATGCATGACCAATGGGATCAAGTAATATTGCAGTCTCTTAGAAGTTAAACTAAAAACAAAAAAGATTTGATGAAAGATGCATCAAGTTCAAATCTTTTCAATACAATTTAGCATGATTAAATGAATGTAAGTCATACAAAATATAAAAAATGCAAAATAAATATGAATTCTTAAATCAACGATCACTTATTACATAAGAAAATTTATAGGTGAAAACTCAAAATTTGTAAAATTCAAAATTAAGCGATACTAAAATCATCAATTAATCCAGAGAAAATTCAAATCATGAAAAAAATTAACAAGCAAATGTAAATTCACATCTTCACTAAAAACCCAATTGAACATAATTTGACTAAAATCGGGACTCCTGCAACACTAATAAAAATGCTGGAGAAATACCTAGATTAAGGAAAGAAATCAATATAGTTCAAATAATTCAAACATGGAGTTATTTTCCTTGAAATTTGTCATCCCACATCAAAACAGGCACCCACAAGATTAAATCTAAAAAGAAAAAAATTTCTAAATAAAATTACAAGCCTTGGGTATCTATTTATATATTCCCTGTCTCTAATTAATAACCAAATTTTAAGAAAATTCATAATTCCGTAATAATTCAAACTTTTCTTGTTTGTTCCATGTCAAAAAAAAAAAACCCTTTCTTAATGTTAAATAAGCCCTACCATACAAATCCTGAAGGCAACATGGATCAACTCTAAATCTCTATATGGGATAAAGTTGGAAGTGTTTCCACATTAGAGAACTTCAATGCTTACAACTTCAGAAAAGTCGCAGTAAAGAGTACAGCAAAATTTTCTCATTAAAAATCCAAACTTTTCATAATAATAAAGATGTTAAAAGTGTGCATAATTTCGAGTCAGAAAGTTCTTTAATATCTGTGAGCAATTAATTGTAACCACCATATTATATAACATCATCCTTTCGTTTATATCACAGATATCAGATCTCAGTGTTTGCTTATATCAAGCAATACATTTGTTATACTTTTCAAATTTTGACAAAGAAGACAAACAGGATCAACTTTAAAACCCAAAAAAAAAAAGCTTTGCACTACTACAGATGTTCCTAAATTTGAGTCATTCTCTCTGAAAAATAATGTTGAAGGCACTAGAAAAGGGATTAATGAGAAACTCACTATGGAAAGACAGATTTCACCCTTTCAATGTCAAGTGATTGCTGAACAGAGTGGGGAACTCCAAGCTTTATCTGAAGTTTCATTTGATCAGTGTTAACACCAGGAATCGACCCTGATCCAAAATGTAATTGCAATAAATTCATTTTTTTTTAATCTCAGGTATAAATTTACAACCAAAACCCATTATTTCTTCAGGAGTAGGGAGGAGAAATCAGCGGTTACCACTTCGGAAAGCTGGAATTGAATTGGAAGAGATAGCATCCCTGCATGCCCTCATTGCCGCAGCAGTAATGTCTTGCCTGATCATCAATAAAACGGTCAATTGAGCAAGACCGAAGCTTACAAAACCAAAAAGAAGCAGACAGAGCGTATTAATAAAAAGAGAAAATATGCGAAAGGACGAAAGCACCCGTGCTGATCGTATCCGACACCCATCTCAACGAAAAGAAGCTTCATTGAAGGGGTCTCAACCTGCGCTCCCTTCTCTTTGCTCGTCATTTGCTTGGTCGATGCTGCGGAAGATGACAGTGAACTCCGGAAAGAACGTAGTAGAGGACGGAGAACGCCTTTGCTCTTCCTGATAGCAATTTTGATTGGGGAGGAAGGCAAGTGGAGAGCGCGGTTCCTAGGGCTCCAAGACCTAACACTTCGAGAAGAAGAACACTCATGCGAGTAGAACGGTCTGGTGCGACTGGTAGCCGTCCTAATGACCTCTACGGTTCCGTCCATTCCCAGCCCTTGGTGCTCGCGTTAAGGCCGACTGTACATCGGCGCCTAGGTATCGCAGGGTGATTTGTACTCCATATAATTTGCTGAGAAAATATAGTAATTTCAAAATTTATAGATGAGATTAATAATATATTTCTGTTCAAAAATAATGATAATGAAATAAATATTTTAATGAAAATTTAAATTAATATTCCTCAAAATATATACTATTAGCCAAATTTCTCCATTATTAATTTTCTTTTGTATATATATATATATAATATGATCTTTTTGTAAAGGCTAATGAAACTCTAAATTTAATGAAGAAGAGTGCTTGAATTTAATATTTTACAATTTTCAAGATTTGAATACTTTATAATGATATAAATAAGTATCCTAAGTGTTATGCTAAATATGAAGAAATTGGCTTCACCAATATCAAGTGTTGAAACACTCACCTGAGGCATGAGAGAAGAAATTTAATTATGTTCTACTATTGATTATATTTTGATGTATTACAATTGCCATTGTAATTGTACACTCTTGTAATAAAGTTTTTGTATGTTATTTAATAGCTATTATGATTGAAATCTGTTTTATCAAAATTTACTATGTTATGTGATATATCATTAACAATTCGATCCAATCGTTGCGGCCAACGATATCAAATTCGATCCAATCCAATAGCAAGTGGGTCCAAATAAAATTACCAAAGCCTATTTGGAAGCTTTAGAACATTAATTGAATTACTAAACGATATCCAAATGTGACGTATTCATAGTCAAATCGAGCGGCTCGACGTGACGAATTCAACGAGCCTAAGATAATGATTGATAAACAACTCATGATCGAGAGAGTTGATATCAGTCGTCCATTGAAACACTCTCAACGTATCATTGATCTTCTCTTTATTTACTAGTCATATCACTTCTAAAAAATTATAAATTGACCCCTTGTTCTTCACTGAAAGAGAAAGATGAAATAAAGAGAAAAAGAGGGTAAGAATCAGAGATCTTTTATATATTTCCTAGCACTGTTGCTGCCATCGACCGCTAGTCACTATTACCAGCAATCACCATCATCATCAGCGATCGACATTAAAAATCATCAACATTTCTAGAATTTTCTCAAGATTGTATCCAATTGTTGTTTATCGTTGTATTTTCCTCTTCTTCAATGGTAAAAAGGATGATTTTTATATCACTTGTTACAAAGTGAATTCTGATTTTTCCACTAAAAATATTCTCTAGTGTTATCCTTTTTATCTATTCGTACTGAATTTTTGTGCATTGTTAAGATGTGAAATTCAATCTCTATCGACTAAAATTTTCTAACACTCAACATTATGCTATATTTATTGTTATCACACTTTGATGTATTATAATCTACTATTATAGATCGTTAGGAGACTGTTTTAACTATTTTCAAATAGGATTCAAATATATGACTCAAGTTCGAAGATGCCTCAAATAGAGCTCAAACATTATTTGAATCTTAATGGATTAGAACTTCATGCTTTAATCTCTTAAAATTTCACAAAAATAATATAAATACAGTTACCCAAAAGTCAGCATTTTAAATTAAATATAATTCATAAAAATTATTACAAATATGACAAGATATTAATTAGAGTCTAAATTAATTAATCCAGCACACCATCAAATGAACGAGGGTTTGTCTTAAATTATTTGGGTTATATAAGTATGAATATAGTCATTGCCATTTCTAACAACGACAGTAGTATAATACGAAGGAGATATATAATGAGAGAGAGACGGAGAGAGAGAGACGGAGAGAGAGAGAGAGAGAGAGAGAGAGAGAAATTACTAGAGAAATATTGGTTCAAACTTCAATAACAAAACAAAATGAATATTATTATCTACTCATATTTTGGACAACTTTCTTACTGCTTTCTTACCGCTGAGACAAATTCAGGATTCTCCCTTGGATCCTTTAAATTCGGCTTTGAAAGACTCCAACCATAAGCTTGCTGAGAGGAACTCTGATTGGTCTAATTGGATTTTACAAAGAGCAAAAGCAAAATGGATGTCTAGTGGGGAGGATGATCTTAAATTCCTCTACTCTCGGATTAATGCTAGACACAATTTCAATTTGATTAAAGGAATCGCCACCACATAAGGGATATTCACCAACTCGACTAACATCAACAATGCCATTATTCATCATTCCCAAAAACTCTTTAATACAACTCTTCCTCCCAACACCAATGATTGGGCTGTTCCTATTCAACTAAAGCTCCCCACCAACCTTGCTCCACAACTGATTACCCCCATTACTGTGGAGGAAATTAAGAACGTTATCTTCTCCTCCCAAACTCTTCTGCACCGGGACCTGATGGTTACACATTTGAATTTTACAAATTCACTTGGAATAATATTGGCAAACAGCTTTGTGAGGTTGTCCTCTCCTTTTTCTCTACTGGTTCAATGCCTAAGCATGTGAAGGCCACTTTCATTGCCTTATTCTTAAAAGGCTTCATGCTCATGACATTTCTGACTACAGGCCAATATCCCTCTGTAACACCTACAATATCATTGCCAAGATTCTTGCCAACATGATGAAAGAGGTTATGTCGTCCATTATTCATCATAGCCAATCTAGCTTTATCAAAGATAGAATCATCTCGAATAATATTCTTTTAGTGGCTGACCTGCTTAAGGATTTTAATTTAAATGCTAAACACAAAATTTTTTGTGCAAAATTTGACATTCATAAGGCTTTTGATACAGTTTCAAGTGAATTTTTGCTTAACAGTATGCTTGCCAAAGGTTTTCTTGATGTCTTTGTTTCATGGATCAAAGGTTGCATTACTGATGTGCACTTCTCTATCTCTATTAACAAGGTGCTTGTAGGTTACTTCAATTCATCTTCCGGCCTTAGGCAAGGGTGTCCTCTTTCACCATACATCTTCTGCATTGTCATGGACAGCCTTTCTTCTTGCTTTGAGGATGTCTCACTTAACAACTCTTTTTAGGGTATTGAGGCTGGTAATGTTTCTATTTCCCATATCCTCTACGCTGATGACTTATTGGTGCTTGCCAGGGCCTCTTTAGAGAATGCTCAAACTTTTAATAAGATTTTAGCTGGCTTTGCTAGCATTTTGGGATTGCAAGTTAATAGCAATAAGAGCATGATTCTTTTCTCTAATAATGTGCTGGATGAGCAGGCCATATCCAATACTCTGAATATTCCAATTTCTACTGCTCCTATCAAGTATCTTGGCATTCTTATCTTTTGTAGGAGACTAAAAAAATGTGATTTTCAACCTCTTATGCAAAGAATCATGTGCTCTTTGGATAGCTGAAAGGCTAGAACCCTTTCTTTAGCTGACCGTTTACAATTTCTTAAATACACCATTTATAATATTCTAGCCTATTGGGTTAGAAGCACCTTAATCCCTAAGGCCTATGTTAAGGTCATAAACAGTTTGTGCTCTAGGTTCTTATACTATGGGGATATTCACAAGAAAATGTTACATATTATTTCTGGAAAGAAACCTATAAGCCTAAAATTTATGGGGGGCTAGGCATCCCTTCTATCGATTCCCTCTACCATGCTTTTGGGTGCACAATTATCTGGAGGTTTTACAACTCTAAGATCTATCTCTTTTTGTGGTGGAAAGCAAAATATGTTTCTTTCTGGAATTAAATCATTTCTAAGGGCTCTGTTTATTGGAAATCTCTTTGTGATGTGGCCAAATGCTTACTGCATTCTCTGAATTTCAGAATTATTAATAGCAGTAGCCTTTCTTTCTTTTGGGGTCCTTGGTGTTTTGGTCAGTCTATGGCTGAACGGCTTAAGAATTAATAGTTGGATACTCTTATTAATCCTCCCAACTTGCCTGTTAGCTATCTCCTCTCCAATGGGACTTGGATCTTACCTCCATCCATCCCTACCCATTGGGCTGCTCTGATCACTTCTATCCCTATCTCTGACTCGACGGAGGAATGCTATTGGACCAAACCTGCTAAGCTTTCCTTAAGCACCTTTCTTAAATAATACTATGCGGATTGTGAAGCTGTTCCCTGGTATAATTTTGTTTGTCATAAACATTATGCGCTTAATTTCTCAATTTACTCTTGGATTGCCTTAAAAAATGGCCTCAAAACATCTGATGTTTTGATTACTAGGGGAATTCTTGTTTCTCCATACTGTGTCTTCTGCAGGATTAATAGGGAAAATCAAAATCACCTTCTATTTGAATGTGATTACTCTTATAATATCCTTAATAAGCTTTTGCCTCGGATGAATAGTATGCTTCTATGTCCCAACCTATGGCAAGTTTTTAAAAGCATTGATGATTGGGAACATGATAATAATAGAAAAAATCTCTGCTATATTTTACTTAGTGCTATTGTTTACTACATACGGAGAGCAAGAAATGACATATTATTTGGTAACACTTTTGACTGTCATAACACTACTATTGGCAAGATTAAACGGGCTGTTTATCTCAAGACTATCAAGCGGAAATGTTTCCAAACTCTACAAAATATGCTTATATGATATTTGCACTTTTGATGAGGAAGGATTACTGGATATTGCCCGAACTCCTCTCTAATATTTTGGTGTTCCTGGATGGTCTTTTTTTGGCAACCAGGGACTACTTTTTTGAAGGACGATGATGAATGCGATCAACCACTACATCACCTTGGACGGTCTCTTTGACAACCAGGGGATCCCCACATCCGTTTGGATGATTTTGGCTGTCTGGGAGTTCTTCATGATGCTTGCATACTGAGTCCTTAAAATTTTTGTTTAATTCTCCTTTTATTCACAGCTTTCTCTTGTTAAACAACTTATGATGATAGGGTTTTGTCATTTGCTTCATATTTTTTGTGTTAGCGGGTGATTTTCTTTCTTTTTGTAACACTTTCATATTTCAATGAAATTGGCTAATGCCCCAAATTCCCCAAAAATAAATAAATAAATAAAATTTTTTAGTACAAAATTTTTGTAACTAACAATTTTTTTATAAAAAAATTTCTTTGAAAATAATAAAAAAACCATCCCAAACAAAGCCTAATACACCATCAAGTTATTATTTTCATATTCTTAACAATAAAATTATTGCCAAAAATATAATAATAATTCATTTCTTTTAGAACATATTGAATGTTTGTATTCTATATTATTTTTATAAAAAAGAAAGTCATTATTTTTGTATTCATAGATGATACAACAATAAATAATATACATATTTTTAAGTAATCTTGTTAGACAATTTTTTGCATGCAATTAGCACTCTAATTATCTAAATAATGATTCAACATACTTGATTTTTTTTAAGTGTGATATTTAACAAGAATTCTTAGTTTCTGAATATTTTATTAGCATGAAAAGATTAGAGTAAATATGAATCTATTTGTTTTAATACAATGTTACTTGTAGGTAAGAATATGATTTAGAAAATAATGATTTTATTTTCATTTATTTTGTGTGCTAAAAAATGAAATGATTGTATTATGAATTTTTTATGAAATTTTGAAGATTAAAATTCATAGACTTCAAAAAAGTATATGCTACAATTCCAGTCAACCATACATTTGGGCTTTCTAGTAGTGTGATATATATATATATATATATCATTTTAGTGACTAATGATTATTTGTACTTGAATACATAATACATTTTAAAAATATCAACATCTTATATAATGACAATTATTCTTAAACAAAAATTAGGTAACACCTCTACACAATATGTCGGGGGTCCAAGGGGTCAGCACCCCCTGATGGGGTTTTACCTGCCCGGTCAGGTAGCGGGGTCAAGGGGCAACGCCCCCTAACGGGGGTTTCTGGGGGCAACGCCCTTGAAACAAATTTTGGTTGTAAGGATATTTTTGGATTCTCTTTGCTATTTTTTATTGTATTTGGTTAATCGTTTCCTAATAATAACACCTCTACACAATGTGTTTAATTATGCTAGGGGCAATTGCCTAAAGACTATAGTATTTTAAAACTTTAGGGGGTCAATTGCTTAAAATCCCTTGTAATAACCCCTCTACACAATATGAATAATTCTGCTAGGGGGCAATCGCTTAAAGATCATAGTATTTTAATTTTTGTAGGGTGCCGGGGCAATTGTCTAAAGATTCCTATAATAAAGAGTAAAAAAAAAAGCTTGACGCAGACAATTTATCTAAAAGTTCATATAATAATAAAATTTTTATTTTGTGTGTGTGTGGGGGTTAACCCAAATCTACGTGGAGGACACTATTGTGCCACATTAGTTAAGTAAAATCAAATAGGAACTTAAATCAATATGGAGGACCCTATGTGCTCATTATAACAAGATTTTGTGTAAATTTGATTTTTCTTATTTAAAACTTTAAATTCATAACTTTTTTTAATAAAACATTTTTTATGAGAAAAAGAATAATGTTAGAGGCCATTTATAATGAATTAATGTAAACAAATGAGCATTTTAGCCCTTTTAGTCTCAAATAGCATATATAAGATTTCATTTCAGACAACTTTCTTATGACCTTTCAAAGCAGCTTTAGAAAGCTAAAGCTTAGTTTGGGAAAGCTTTCTCATCGTTGCTTTTTAAAATTGATTTTTAGTACAAAAAATTTTAATTTAAGAAAATTTTTAACTAAAATATTGTTTTAGAAAATATTAAGAAATTTGTTACAAACAAATCCTAAATCTCTTTGGGTAGAGACCAAAAAAAACAATTGTATTTCATGTATATGCTTTTAAAAAGATTTCTTCAGCAATTTTCTTAGAATAATACTATGTTATTGTAAATATTTAAAAGTATTTAAATCTCTCAGAATACTGAAATGTGTTACAATGATATATATATTTATTTATTTTGTGAAAGCTCATTTCTTATGAATTTAGTTATTGTGTACATTTATAAGTAATGAGTTTTTTTTTATCCGCTACTACATTATTTTTACATCATGTTATTACTATTTTGAACAAAAATAACATTTCAACAAATCATTCCCTTAATTTAATATTATTTTATTACAGTAAAAGTAAAAAATTAAAATAGAAGGACTTCTTAACACAATCAAATTCAGGCTTTAATTAGAACAGTTTTTTTAATGCTTTCTAAAACATTTTTTTTTTTAACAAAATTTTAAAATTTAAAATTTTTTTATTAAAAATCTGCTTTAGGGCATCTCCAACCGAACGCTAAACGACTGTATGGAGTCGTTCCCTCGCTCCAACCGAACTCCAAAATTTTCGCCATTTAATCGCAGGTGAACAGTGCGACGCCAATATTGGCGTCGCACTGTTCACTCACGCCATTTTTTCTCTCAACCCGAAAAACGCGCGAAAGGGAGAGCGATCGTTACCTTCTCAAAAACACCTAAAATGGCGTTCGATTGGAGCATCCCGTGCCATTTTGGAGTTTTTGCGTTACTTTGCCGTGAAAAATGAAGTTTTCGGTTGGAGATGCCCTTAGAAAGCAATATGCATGAAAGCTACCCCTATACAAAGCTTCAATTTTTATCTTTTTTGAAAGCCAACTTACTGCAATAGGATCCCTTAGTACGTACATACATTTTTTATACAAAATTTTCTCCTCTAATCTGCTTTGGAAACATTAATTGTGAGTTCTTTTACCACATATCCAATATTGGAAGAACTGCATGTCTTATTGATAGAAGGATCAGCAAAAGGCCCTTCCAGGATTCCCTTGGCTATGGCCTTATAAGTTGCCTCTGTAAAGTGCAAGCCATCCCAGCTAAGATAAGTAGACGGGTCGCCGCACACAGTCGAATTCTCGCTTCCACAACTTATGCTCTTTCCGTAATTGTATCGACCGCCACCGCTACCACAACATGCAGCTAAAGGTACTTTTTCAAGCCCTACAACAAATATTTAAGGTAGATGTTACAATAGAAAGTTGATATATATTAGGTCTTAGGCTTCATTTGGGACAGCTTTCTTTTTACTTCTTAAAGCAGCATCTTAATATAGAATTTAAATTTTTTGTACTATAAAACATCTTTAAGAAGCAGAAAGAAAGCCGTCCCAAATGAAACCTTAATAAAGTCCAAATAAGTGAAGGGAAAAGAAAATAATTTGTCTCACTTGTGCTATTTGCAGGGCTAAGGATGTTCATAACTGCATTGAAGTAATCAGCGTAAATGATGGTGGTGTGGGGGTGAATATAGCGAAGACGATTGAGCTCCTGCTTGAGAATATTATTATGATACTCTGAGAACTCGTTCAGCCAATTAATGCAGCCTGTGCTCGTATTGTAGTCTTCTACTTTTGAGTTCTCATAGTATGTGAGAAATGCTGCTATGCATCCTATTGGGAAGTTTCCAGGAACTAACAAAGTCTTTGCCCCCATATCAATTAAATCCTGACAATAAAAAAATGAGTTCAGAATGCTTAGAATCAAATAATCTTATTCATTTTGTATCATTCATTAGGGTTCAAAGAAATTTTTATCTTGTCAAATGATCATATAATTGGAATGACAATGGACATTAAAACAGTGAAATTTCTAAGCAAAAGAATCTAAACTCTTAAACATCGAGACGTATTTTGGTAAAAAAATCTCCGCAATTAAGCATGCTCATCCCGGAGCGATTCTAGGATAGACGAGTTACTGGGAAGTTACACCAACAGCATAAAACTGTGTGGTCCTTAAGCCAAAGCGAACAATATCTTGATAGTTAAGAGTTTAGACTATTACAAAAGCTTTGTGAGTGTTGGACATAGGACCTTAATGACTAAAAATATTAGATATCATCAATCTCATCACTTATGAGAAATGAAAGAGTTTAGAAGATGGTGGATGGCCTACTTGGTTTCTATTTTAGTAGGATGGGAGATTGGTCGATTGATCCATTCATACATATAAAGTCAAGAAAAGAGTTATCTAAAAATTAAGAGAAAATCATTATAAGGAACCATACACACAAACAATAACAGAAAGCTATTGAGAAATTATAATATTTTCAAAATATATAAACTAACTTTCATAGTGCAAAGTAAATACTAACATTAATTGCAGTACTAATTGTGTCGATGACATGAGGAACCAAAGATTTGGCTTCTTCAACGGACCAACTTTGTAGGAAACCATGGTTGTAATCATTTCCACCTATTTCTCCAACTAGGAATAGAGATCTGCTGAAAATATCCTTGCTCTCTGACAAAGAAATAAAATTGTTAATGGCTTATATTTAAAAAAAAATCATATAAAAATAATGATAATGATCAAAATGGTCATTTGACTTTTTTACAAAGGATCAAAACGATACCGACTATTTAAAAGTCTTATTTTAATTTTTTGACTTTTTAAAAAGCGATTTAAATTATCCCACACACGAAATAATTAATTTTTTGACTTTTTAGTGATGTAGGCTTTAGATTTTTCTAATGTAATAATTATGAATAAAATTATTATTATTCTTTGAAATTATCTATATAAATGATTATTAAAGGAGGAATAGTTTTATAAAAGTTTATGATGATTCAAGTATAATAAAGTAAGAAGTTTTTAAATAGTTAGAGCCTTTAATTTGACAAAACCGATGAGAGTTAGAGTTACTTCATGAAATTTAGAACCCAAGTTAAAATGCCTATAAAAGCTCATTTTCACTCTAGATCCTCCCTCTCAGCATGGTCAACTTCTTTGCATGATAGAATAACCTATTATTCAGTACATTCTTCCAAAAATAGTCTCCATAAATTATGGGGTGTCAATAAATGACCAAATCGGACAAGCAAAATCAATATCCGAGCTCGAATTGGCCTAATTAATCTTTTGGGTTGGGTTTGGGTAAAACGTTTTGACTCAATTGATTTTGAGTTAAGTCCGATTAACCTAAAAACTCAAAATTGACACGAATATCATTTGGATTAAGATTGAATAAATGGGCCATCTTCGAATTAAATAGGTCAAATATGAGTTAAACAAGTCATGTTTAACTACAACTTGTGAGATTTATACGATAAAGTAGTCAAATGGGTTGGGTTTGGACAAAATTAGGTTTTGGTCAAATATTTTGACATGTATGATAAATGGGTGGATTAAAGTCAAACATATATATTTGAATTGAGTCAACTTTGGGCCAAACACTAACCCGACCATCCAACTCGGATGGACACCCCTACATAAAATCTAGATTTTTTTGCAACCTTATTATCATCTAAATGTATTAAAAAAAAAAAAAAAAAAAAAAAAAAAAAAAAAAAAACCGACCGACCTCCTGCCTTCAAGTCAAGCCCTCCATCTCACTCTCGCTTAGGCTTGGGTGGACACGTACGCTCATGCAAGCGACGGACTGGACGGACTGTCCGCTCTCCTTGTTTGGGATGGACGAAAATGTAGTGGCACGATGTGTTCCGCTGTCCTTCGTGTCGTCCTTCTCGGGGCCTTTGGCCGTTGATCCGGCTTCATGGAAGTCTTGTTTCCTTTCCCTATGTCATTTCCTGTGCTGTTTACATTTTTTTCTCGCTCGATATTTTCGTCTTTCGTTTGGATTTTTGGATTAATGGCGGGTTGCCATTTGAATGATCCCAATTTTTTGAATGAGATGAACTCTTCTTATTCTTTTAGAGATGCTTTATCTGGTTTTTCTCCATCTTCGAACTTTCCTGACCTCAAAATCACCTCTCATTGTGGGTTGTCATCACTGTGGATTTCGGAAGAGGAAGTTATTGCGCTTGCTGCCCCATTTCATTTTGCTTTGGTTGAAATTTTTTCGGCCCGGAG